TGCAGCATTAAGATGCTTCAAATGTTCCTCCCATGGCCATGAATAAAGCACCATCATCGATGTAGGCCACTGCATAGTCCTGATGCAGGGCTAACACTCAGTTCATCAGTTTTTTAAACATTGCAGCAGCCTCATGCAGCCCAAAGGTCATACGCATGAATTCCTACAACCCCAAGGGGTTGCAAATGCAGTTTTGTCCTGGGAGTGCTCTTCCATTGGGAATTCACAGTACACTTTTGATGGACTGAGGGCAGATATTAAGCACGCCCCTCCTATTTTCTCTAATAGATATTCTACATGGGACATAGGGTATGCATTGAAGTGGTCCCTGGGATTAACTTTCTGGAAATCAATGCAGAGGTGCATGGTTTGATCCTTTTTGGGGACCATGCTGACAGAATTGCACTATTCATTCCACCTCCATCTGAACTTCCTCTTGCAATTTTTGCAAGATTCTTCTTCGGCCTTCTCAGACCACCTGCCCTGGTGGTGTTTGTATCTGATACTCAACTAAGGAGGTCTTCCCTGGGCAAGTTATAAATACCTTTGAGAATGACTGCCCTACTTGCATTAATTGCCACTGCTGGAGCAGTTAACTGCTGTCCCAACCATACATTCTCCAAGATACCTATGTCAGCCACAGCTGGGCTGAACTGTTGCTCTTGGCCCATGGCACTTCACAGCACTTCCTTATCAACCCATTTTTTTGAGAAAAAATATATGATAAATTTGTCATGTTTACTCACGCAACTGCCATACCTCATAATCTATTGGGGCGGTTCTGTGGATTACTTCATATGGCCTTTGCCATCAGGCCAGAAATTTAGATGTCTCATCTGACAATAGGACTAACATTCTGTCACCTTCCTCAAACTGCCTTTCACATGCCCTGAGATTATAGCTGGCTGGCCTGTTGTTCCTCAGCCCCCCCCACCAGGCTTCCCCTTGCCATAGACCAGGCCACCTTCAATCTCTCTCTCATCTTCAAGACATGGTCCACAGGACTGTGGGTGGAGCCTTGTTGTATTTCCTAGCCCTCTTTAACCAGGTCTAACAATACCCACGGACGATGGCCTTACAACAGTTCAAAGGGGGAAAATTTTATGGCACTCTGTGGAGCTTCACAGTATGCAAACATTAAAGGCCTGAACATCCTGTCCCACCATCAGGTGTCTTACCTGGCTACTTTTTTTAGCATGATTATAGCCGGGCGGCTTCTGTTTATGTTATAGCCTAGGGGCTTGTGTTTGTGTTACTGTTTGTCACCGGTGGTGTGAGGCTGTGAGGCTTGGGGTGTGGTAAAAGGGGTGGTTGGAGCCACGCATAGCCCATAAGGCTAGGGTGCCCTGAAACACCTATGATAGAACGGGGACCACAAAGGGGTCCTGGAGCCCACGGGGATCGGAGTACAGATAAATCGTGTCCAAGAAGACATGAAGGCAGCCTCCCTAATATATTAGAACACCAAAGACATGGCGGGCGAGAATCTGAGGGTGCCCTTGGGCCAACTTGGCACAGGAACGGGGCCTTGAGGAGATCACGGCCCTCCTGCAGGACCCCGCCGTGACATTGGTATTTAAAATTTCATTTGGATGGCCTACCTTAGTAAACATGCACAAAAGCTCTTCTGCCACCTTTTCCATACTTGCTGACTTCAGGGGTACCTCCTCCAAATACCAGGTGGCATAATCAACCAGTACCATAATAAACTGATACCCAGAAGTACTCTGTGGCAATGGGTCAAAAATATCTACTGCCACTCTTTCAAATAGTTTGTCTATTAATGGCATGGCCACCATGGGAGCATGTGGTGGTCCCTGCAGCTGGGAGGGTTGGCACTGAGGGCAGGATCAACAAAACTGGCATATTTCCTGTCTAATCCCTGGCCAAAAGAACTGTTTTTCTTGCTGCTCATGGGTATTATCTTCCCCCACGTGCCCTCCCCTAGGGAGTTCATGTGCATAGGCAACATGTGGGGAGGGGCATGGGGGGCATGGCCCCCCCTGAGATTGGTGTCAGTGTCAGCAGCAGCCAGCATCTGCAGGCAGTCACCACACAGTGTGGGCATAGGCATCTCACATACAGAAGAACATGTCTTTGCCAGCAGTAATGTGTGGGGCAAGGGCAGCTCCTCCTCATGGGCCTGGGCTGAGATGTGGCATCACATTCAGTGGCCATGTGCCCCTGCTTTGGCTCCCACCCCTGGGGCCCCTGCTACCCAGCCCCACTACGCACCCTAGCTCCATGTGGCCCAGGAGCAACAGTTTCCTGCAGCAGGGCCCAGACCACATGTGGACCCTGCTGCCCAGCTCACTGGCTACAGGAAGGGGAGGTGGATGCACCAGCAGAGCAGTGGCTGCCATTGCCTCCAAGTGATCCCCCTGTCCACCAGCCTCACCACACCTTGCATGCCCATGGGGGTGTGACCAGAGGCCAGAATGCTGTGCACCTGTTCCCAGGCTCTTCCCCTTAGGTGCCCACACATCACTACCCCCCAACCTCAGAGGGCGCACACAGCGTGAACTATAAAGAGTCTTCATGGCAAAGATAGTGTTTTATCGGTGAAGGGTAAGATGGATGGTGGAGGGGGTCTGTGGGCAGGGAGGGATGGGTTCTATTGTGGGGGAGGAAGGGGTGAAGGGAGTCTGTGTTTGGGGAAGGGAATAAAGTGCTTCCCTGAAAACTGTCCTTAGTGAGCGTGGTGCTAGGGGTGCGTGGTAGGGCTGGGGTCTGGGGCCAACCATCCAGATGACCTCCATGCAGACACCAGTTATGGTTGGCTGGGCATGTACACAGGTGGTGGGGCTGGAGGCCCAACAGTACATGGATGGCAGCAGTGGTGGCATCCAGGTGCATGTTATTGGTGTTTCTGACAGGGTCCAGGTAGCACCATGGGGTCTGAGCAGCTGCAGCATTGGTGGCAGGGAGCCTGGAATGGCACTGTGAGCCTGGCCAAGAAGCTGTGATGTGTGTCAGGGAGCCACCAGGGACAAAAATGACTTGGGACAGACTGTGGTCACTGTGGTGGTGCAGCAAGGGTGGCCAGCAGGATCCAGGGGCAGTGGAAATTGCTTCTGGGGCCTAGGATTGGAGCAGCCATGACATGGTGGGTAGAGGCTTTGGTGACAGACACACAGTGTTCTGCTACCACACCCTGCAGCCTGCTCTGGGCCAGGGAGACAAGTGGTCAGGGAGCAGGACTGGCTCTTAAAGATGGTCACTGGCTGCAGGCAGGTGCTTTCAGTGCTTCTAGTTTCCCCCAACAGCAGCAGGGGGCCAGTGCAGGGCCAGAGGGGGTAAGATCAGACTTCTGCCAGGTGCTGCAAATCTGCTCCTAAATCCCTGCACCTGTATATTTCTGCCCAGGCTGGGTTTACTGAACAGTAATGTTTCTTTTATATGGTTGTGATCCAAACTCCATTGCTGGTTTGATAGTGGGGTTCTCCAGCAGGGCTCCTCCACCCCTACACCCTGGACCCTTACCTCATGTGGATAAGTTAAGTCCTTTTTTTAAATTCCAATAATGAAACAGGAGATAGGAGGGGAAAGTAATTAAGCAGTCCCTTAATTATATCCCCAGGATGCATCTCTAGAGAACACAAACCTTCCACCTTTAGGTCAACCAGAACCTTTCCTCCTTCAAGTAAACATAATGTGTAACCAACCTCTGGTTTCCCTTCAGGTCTCAGACCCTGAGAGAGAGTGCTTTGTCTCATGTTCCTGCGTTCTACTTCCTTGCCTCTTCTCTCTGTCTGAGCCCTTTTAAACCATATGCATGGTCCCTATACTACAGACCCATGGAGAAACAATTCTGGCACAGTGTTTGTGCGTCAGCTTCCTCACTGCCTTTCTCCTCCCCTGGAATGTTCATCGGGCTGACTCTTTTGTTTCCAGCCCTTCTCAGCTTCATTGCTGGGATGACTCCTCCAGTCAGCTGGAGCTCATCAAGTGAGCTTCAGCACACCTGGGGAGCTGCCTGCATTTTTTCACAGTTGCTTTATCTCATGACTTCTGGCAGTGTTCCATACTCATTCCCTGGCCTCACTAAGGTGAGTTCCTGCTTTTCTATAATTCCCATTATAACTATTACAATATTAAGAGTCTTCTTAACATCTTATCTCTCTTTTCTATACTTTCTTCCTCCATCTACCTCCTCCAGATCTGTTTGTAACAAGGCTTTTTAATACTGCACATGTTTCTGGTATGGGCCTCAGTGTTGGTGCACCCGTAGTGCACAGGGAAGTACCCATTTCTACAGCCCTTTGTGCAATGGAGTCTACCCCCATGTTAAACACACCTTATTCCATAGAAGCCCTTTCTTTCCATCTTACCCACCCTCCTGAACCTGTATAAGAAAAGACAGAAGCCATATATTTTCTCCTTCTAATTTGGGTGGGCCCCAGTATGCTCAAATGTACACTCTTCCCACCCCTAATTCAGACCAGTCAGGAGATAGTAATGGTAAGTGACAAGAGTTACTTACAAATTAAGATAAAGAAAGCCTTAGAACCTCATCCTGGAAGGATAAGCATTGGCCAAGTGAATTGATACCAAATTAATCAACAAGGAGAATATGGACTACTAATGGTTCTGGTTTTGATCTTAGGCCATTCTGGGTATATCTACATTGTTTTTGCAGCTGGGATATTTCCAAACAAAGACATGACACATGCGAGTTATGGGACTGACCTCACAAGGAAAAGAATATTCTGTGGGTATTGGTCCTTGAAAACATCACCACTTTACCTGTAATAAGTGCGGAGCTCACACAAAAGGGCCTGTGTCCAGGGCAAACTTCCTTCCAGCTTGCAGAAAGGGCCTATATTTTTCCACTTTTTTTTTTTTTTCCAGTTGAAAGAGAAAGTTACTTTATTAATAGTCCTAACTGCCAAATCTAGTTATGTAAGGAAGAACACATAGAGCAGCTGAAAAGCCCTGGAAGCACCCCAGAGTCCCCTGCATTCTGATTCACTTCTGGGAACAGTCTTCCCTTTACTCACCTGCTATGTTTTGATGTTTCCTCTGGTTCTCAAAGGGGAGGCTGCTCTAGGGATTCCAGATCTCCTCTTTGCTCTGAAGAACACCCAAAAAAAGTGAGGACCTCTGCCTTAAGCACTAATTTCACAGGTACATACCATCCCTACACTGTGCCCCATGCCTTGCAGATATTACTGTTGCCACTGTTAGGGCTTTGGCCTCCCCAACCTCCTCTGCCTTACTTTAGATGGGCCATCTAGCCTAGTCCCACTGCACCAGGCCTGGCTTTGAAGCTCTAGCTCACATTTATCCTGGGCCCCTGGATTATATATCTTTATAATCCCAATCCAAACCATCAGTTCAAGCTATAACATAAACACTAAACCCTGAGCGATAACAATAAAGAAAAATAATACAAGCAGCGTGCCTTCTTACCCTGAATCTCTTTCTCTCCAGGTCTCTCGGTCCTGTGCCCCAGCCTGCAGAACTATTTCCTTCTTGTCCCCTAGGTACTCAAGAGCCTGCATTCCATCCCAGCGTGGGCTGGCTTTCCCCCAGCTGGCTCAACCCAGGGTTTATATAGCTCTAGCCTGAGCTCTCTCCCAGTCAGGTGATAGCCCCCAATCAGCTGATTAGCCAGCAGGGCTACTCTTTAATCCCTGCTCTGCTGGAAGCCTGTGCTCTGAGAACTCTGTCCTTAAAGGGGCCACCCTACGTTCTAGTAAAAGGGCTAGGATTCCCTATTACAGGGAACCCATCAAAGCCTGCTACGTACACCTTGGTGAAATCTGATCAGAAACAGACTTCATTTGTGTGTGCTACTTGTTGAAACAGTGTTGTATATGTCATCAGTTTCCCAGCCTGTCTCTGCTGGCTTCAGTCACAGTGGACCTTGAAGGAAACTTTGTCACAAACAGTATTTTAGAAATGAATTAAACCTTGCTGTTCCCCTGGACTACTGTTTTAATACAATATCTGCTTTATTTACAAGCCAATTTCCAAAAGCAAACCTCTAATGTTATTTTCTAGTCATTAATCCCTTTCTTGAAGGTCTTGCACCTTGTCATCATAAATGGAGCATAATCAAGGGAACTACCTCGAATGTTCATTGGGGTTGTGGGGAGGACCTTCACCAGTCATTCCAGAAAGTATGATGGTATTCATGATCAGGGGCTCCAACTGGGGCTCTGGGGTGCTTCCATCAGGATGTTGTGATGAACTCTTGACCATTGTTTAAATGATGCCTCTGCCCCCTCTGACTCAGTCTTTTGCCTCAGCATTTCCTAACCCATCAAGAAAGTTTTAGCTAATCAAGTTTAAAGAGGCCTCCCATACTAGGACTGGGGAATGTATTGCTCAAGATGCCTATTAAACCTTTTACTCAGCCATTAGTGCCATTCCTATTGTCAAAATTACTGCATAAACTAGATAAAAAAAACCCATGGTCAGAATTTTGGGGAAACAAACATTCGTAGCAATTTAACCCTTTTGTAAAATGGGCATTTTTGTTGTCATTTCAACCAGACCAATTGTGCCATTGTAGCATCACCAGTGTCCTTTATTCTGTAAGAGAACGGAGAAGTGCCAAGAGCCAGATCCTTCCTGTGCAAACAACAGCTTTGGTCTCTATCGGGATGCTGCCATTTTACTCCTTGTTCCATTTCTCTGCACAAATTTGGGGAATTAATGAAGCTACATTGCGTTACTATTTTTGTATAAAAAATCTAACACAAGCAAAGCAAAATGAGCAAAATAAAACAAACAAAAAGATGACAATAAAACAAATGGTTAATTTGGCCTTTTCAATTTTTGGCATGACTGAACTATTTGAGGCCCTGGAGATGATGCTTTACATGATGCACCATTTTACGTAGCCTCTCTGCAGATATTCCCAGCCTAATAGGTGTTAATTGTTGCCCTTCATATATTTCATAGCCTATAACAAAGTTCTGCTTTACATTTCATTGTCTAGCATAGTTAATATTACAACTACTTACAGCAATAGCATTTTACAAACACAGCCAAAGCAGCACACAATCATTATGCATACTTTTTTCTGGACCAAGTAAACTTCTTGATGCTTCAGTGGTGGTCCATATCCTGCAAAACACAGAGGACAAAAGAGAGGGGCTTAATCCCTTCTTAGGTTAGTTTAGGTCATGGCTGTTGCTGGTTTTGTTTACAATAGGCTCTGGCTCTTGCCATTTAGGCCTTCATCCTTTCTTTAGTGGTATGGTACATCATCTCATCTTCTACTTTTCATGCTTGAGGATGCAGTACAGGTCTCAATTGTCCATTCATTTATCTGCTAACACTCAGGCTGGAGCTCATCTGGAGATTTTTCTCCTAGCCCTTTGCAGAGTCTTTTTTTTCCAGCCCTTTATTTCTCAAAGTGACATATATTCCAAGCACCCTGCAACATATCTTTTTTTCTTGGCCTCCACCAAGGGTTGGGGTATGCTCCCTTTAGCCTTTTCTCATCAAAGGGTGACCCACAAGGCAGTGGGAGCTAGGGTTTTCAGGTGCCCTATACTCACCTTTTCCTGGGTGGCAACATGTGGCATTTTGTAGACACCACCCCACCACAAGTAGCTCTACCACATTAACCAGTCCCAGGAGGGCATAGTTTCCATGTTTTAGCCAAGACAATTTCCAGGCTCTCCTGCCATGGTCATTTTCACCCCTTATGGGCATAATTTTTTACTTCTGGGCTTCTTGGCCCCTCCTTGGGCTAGGTGAGATCTCAGGATCCCAGCCTTGGCAGTCTTAGCAGTGGTCTATTACAGCTTTTGACCTCTTTAGCGCTCTACCTCTGGATTGCCAGACCCCTTGGTCTTTCAGGGCTACTCCAGATCTTTTTGGGATATGGGCTCCTGGATCCCTTTGGTCTCCAGCTGTGTGCCCTGAACTTTGACCCCTCTCTGGGTCCTGACCACATTATTGGGCCAATGAGTCTTTGGGACCTGGCCCTGTTATCACTTGCCTCTCTTGGACTACAGAGCTCTGTGTCTCTAGTCTCAATGATATTCAGATCCTCTTGGGCTGTCAGACCTCTCATCAGGTCTCTCTTTCTCTCTTTCTGTTGGCTCCATTCTGAGCCTCTGAACCAATTTGGTCCCAATCCCTCCTGGCCCCTCCTAGGCTAGAAGTCACTGACTTTGCTTCATACACCATCCAGACTATGAATCTCTGGCTTTCCATGCTCTTACATGGGCCCTGCTCTTTGGCCTCTACTCTCATTCCCTCTCTGAACTCTTTGACCACATCCAGACAAGTGAGCACATGCTTGTTGTGACATCTCAAAGCAGTCTGAGATTCTGCAGGAGGCATACCACAAATTTAAAAATGTTCCCTGCATTGCATATTTGCAGCACAAACTCTAAATTTGACACCAGGAAATTGTGGTATTAAAAAAACCCCTCAATCCCTGGGAAAAAAGTGCTTTAGGGAATGCTCCTGAAGCAACCAGTGGCTGGATCCTCCAAGGAAATGCCTACCACCCACCAGAGTGTCTCTATGGCTGCCACATGCCCCTGCTGCTCTACTTCAGCTTGCTGGAGCAAATAGAAGTGGGTGAAGGCTGCAGCAGCAGCTCAGACCTAGGCTCTGTCCCCAGTAAGCAGGGACAGGAGGGTGGGTGCACTGTGGGGTGTGCCTGCAGCGGGTCATGAGTGCCCCAACAGCCCAGATAGCTGCTGGTCCCTGGGAGGCACAGTAAGCTGCTGGCAGAGGATGCAGAAAGCCCAGTAAGGGCAGGAGATGTCTGTTACTCACCTGCAGGTGCAGAGATGCTGATGACAGGGCAACACACATGGACACAGCCTCATTTTAGAAGCATATGCTCCCTGCATGTCAGCATGTGCGCAGAGGCTGATGCACCCTAAGCCAACAAGTGAGGGTGGGGGGGAGCATGATTGAGCAGTGGCAGCTTCAGGAGCTCCACAGCTTCAAGGATACAGCAAAATCCTAATCAGGCAAGCAAGAAGCACAGCTGGATCCACTGACTGAAAACCCTCTGGACTGAGTCATAGTTGACTCCAAGGTGAACACAAATGTGACAAAGTGATCAACAAGGCTAACCACACTTTATCATGCATTAGCAGATACATGATAAACAGGTCCAGGGAGGTGATGCTTCCCCTCTATGCAGCACTGGTCAGGCCACAGTTGGAGTACTGTGTCGACTTTGGATGCTGCACTTCAAGAGGGATGCAGAGAATCTTGAGAGGGCTCAGAGGAGGGGCAATCATATGGTCAGAGGCCTACAGGCAAGGCCCTACAAGGAGAGACCTCAGACCTAGATCTCTTCAGCCATCACAAGAGAAGGCTGAGAGGTGATCCTGTGGCTACCTATAAATTCATCAGGGGAGGGCAGCAGGGGATGGGAGATGCTCTATTTACTAGGGCACCCCCTGGAGTAACTAGGAACAATGGCCACAAATTGATGGAGAGCAGATTTAGGTTGGACATTAGGAAGAACTCCTTCACAGTAAGGGTTGCCAGAATCTGGAATGGGCTTCCAAGGGAGGTGGTGCTCCTCTCTACCTTGGAGGTCTTCAAGAGGAAACTGGACAAGTTCCTAGCTGGGCTCATCTGACCCCAGCACTTCCAGATCTTTTTGGGATATGGGCTCCTGGATCCCTTTGGTCTCCAGCTGTGTGCCCTGAACTTTGACCCCTCTCTGGGTCCTGACCACATTATTGGGCCAATGAGTCTTTGGGACCTGGCCCTGTTATCACTTGCCTCTCTTGGACTACAGAGCTCTGTGTCTCTAGTCTCAATGATATTCAGATCCTCTTGGGCTGTCAGACCTCTCATCAGGTCTCTCTTTCTCTCTTTCTGTTGGCTCCATTCTGAGCCTCTGAACCAATTTGGTCCCAATCCCTCCTGGCCCCTCCTAGGCTAGAAGTCACTGACTTTGCTTCATACACCATCCAGACTATGAATCTCTGGCTTTCCATGCTCTTACATGTTTTACTTTATGTTTTATGCTACTTCCTGTGGGAACAAGTTTTCCCCAGGGAAAATAAAAAAAAATGCGTTAGAAAAGTGACAGCCAACACGTTACAAGGGGCAATAGAGAGATTCTGGGGAAACTGTTTGAGAACCAGTTTCACAATATTTTCTAGGCAGTTATAGCTGGTGAGGAAACGAGAATCATTAGAAATGGGAAAGAAAGACACACCTCAGCTATGGGAGTGAACAGGAAGTAAAAAAGTATGTAATGCTAGGATGAAAGTGGATGAGAGGAGTCCTGGTGGGATAATGTACTTACCATTGGTAATCCAAGTAGGGCCACACAGAAGGTTTAAAATGTATTTTGGACAGCCTAAACTCTGTACCTAAACTCAGTATGGCCACATACTGCTAGTACACAATATGCTGACCGCTCATCAAAAGGACTGATTAATATGATCAGAAAAAAAAGAAGGGGTAAAAGATGTATGGGACAGTGAGAAGGCGATTACGTGGATGGAACAAAGTGGAAGGCAGGTGTTGAGGATGGATTTTGCAAATGAGTTAGGGATTGG